TTATTCCTGCTGATCCCAGCTGATGCATGGGACTCTTGCGGTTCCATCACAGAAGGCTTCATCCCTTCTGCCCCTTTCCACTCCATACGGGAATAAAGTGGTCTGGTTTCCATAACCTCCCTTGTTGCCTTTTCATAACATGCTGGGCACAGATGTTGAAAATAGTCTGGATGAATATTTAAAATGGTATTCAGAGATGACAACATTTGGCCAGCTTTGAAAGATCTCTCACATAGGGTAGAGGATGGCTTATGACAACAGGGCCGGAAACACACAGCACTTTGACATCTCATTTTTTTCTCCTTGGCTATTGGTACAATATTTCATGCCCCTGGTGTCACACAGCCTGTTATTGCTTGAGTACCCGCCAAGTCTCCAGTCTTTGGAAGAGGCTGTCACGTACATTTTTAACATCACGGGCAAAAGCGGAATATGGAAAATTTGTCGCATTTCCATACCAAGTGCAAGTGTCCTGTGAATGGCTCAGGGAGGGGCTCATGGGGGCACGGAATAATTGTTTCCTTATGGAGCAAGGCCTGACTAATATGGTGGGGGAAAAGGAGAGAGAGGTGCTGTATACAGTGTTGGCATGGCAGGCTGCTTCCCTGATGAAGGAAGACAAAGCCACTCAAACTCAAAAAAGCACATGCCCCAAGGTCTGCAGCAACGGCCATCTCATTCAAGGCCTAGAAACTCTGCTTAGACCTGCAGCTCTTCCAGCTGTTGCCCATGCTAGAACCAGGCCCAGCTTGGAGACTTCAGATTCTGGTACCCACCTGCACCTGGGGCCCTGGGAACAGCATTAACACCCTTCCATTAAGTCTCCCAGGGCAGTTTGCATTTCTGAAGGGCTTCAGGGCTCCTCACTACCGGTCACAGTGCGCTCGGCCGCATTCCCAGGCCTGGCTCTGAGGCACTTCTTTTTCCTCCAGACCTCAAACTCATCTCTGCTGCAGTCAAACTCAGCATTAAACCTGCTCTCTTCTCAACACAGAGACCTGATTCACCCTCCTCCTTCAGTTGTATGCCTAGAAACATCTCCACCAGGTTGTTGAGACACCCGGTAACCTACCACGGGCTCAGCTCTTGGACTGCAGGACCTCCTGTCCCCTTGCCAGCTCGCTCCACCAAGTGGTCAGAAAAGCACAGCAGCTCCCCCTGTTTTACAAATGGAATATTGCGGGGAAAAAAAAAAGGTTCCCTCCATCCATCAAAATGCCTTGGAGTTTGTGCTCAAAGCATAGCTCCAGTCACCTCCCCACAGCACTGGCCACAGCGAGATCTGGCCCCTCCTCACTTTCAGGGAGAGCAACAGCAAATTCGGTAGGGGTAGAACAATCTATGGTCCTTTCCAACCATTCAGGGTTTGCACGTCCAGATCTACACTCAGTATCATCTCAGCCTGGCTACAGCTCTGACACAAATGGCTCAGCCAGAGGTGAGGATGCTCAGCCCAGCTTATGACATGTCCCCTGCCTGGATACACTTGCAGATCAAGCTTGTCCAACAGAGGGGAGTTTGCACACAAACACTGCCCAGTTCAAGAGCAAAGCACCATGACTGCTGCAGTGCTCGAGTGCTGCGCATGCCTGCTCTGCCAGAGGAGAGGGCCCTTCCTACTCATGTGGCTTTCCTCACCAGCCCTGCTTGCCTGGCATGGTGAGAGTCAAACCATGCAAGATACTGAGCACCATGTCCCCATCACATAAACTATTTCTTAACCCAATAAAGGTGTTTGCATGCACTTGCTCTCCAGGGCAGAGAGAGCGTTTGAAGAAACAAGGGCTTACCAATAGCTCTGAGACAGAAAAGCACAAGCAAAAATCACCAATCACCAAATAGAGCCTACTTTCCTTTCTTCCTGTGCGACCCCATCCTCTCACTCTGCCCCACATCCTGCTCACGCATGCCCTGGCCAAAACCGCCAGCCCTCACCCTAACCAATAGGCCAGGGGAGGCAGGGGGTGCGGGTGTGTGTTATCGAGGGGCCTCGTGCAGCCTAGCCTGAGGACTACTTTCAAAGCAACCCAGCTGCAAGGGAGCCATAGGGGAGCTCTTTCCAGCACCAACTCACCCTTTGAGCTTTGCCGCAGATTGGTCCTTCTAAGGTAGCTATGCCAGGAGGGACAAGCAATGGCCCCAAATTGGGATCAGTGGCAAAGGCAAAGCCACCACACCAAGGCACCTAGTCGCTTTGCGTTTACAAAGAGCTTTCAAACATGTAAAAAGTTTGGGCACTTCTCAACCTCCAGCAGGAGCTGCAGGGCACAGAAGAGCACGTGTGTGTCCCGTGCCTGGTCAGCCAGAGCTGGCACAGCACGCAGCAGCCTGGCACAGCTCCTGCCCACTGCTTCCCTCACCGACACCAAAGGTAGGAGGACCCTAGGACATGCTGGGAGAGGCCAGACTGGGCCAGACTTTTGGAGGCTCAGATCCCCCCGACAGTTCTGCAGTATGGGGGCAGCGACCCTAGGAGGCTTTGTACAGTGCGGAGCACCCCTATGCATAGCCCCTCGACTCTGCCAGGAGGGCAGGGCTGAGATCGGGTCCCGTCGCAGGAGCCAGGCTGGGACAAAGCACAGAGCATCCACAGCTGCTCTGCTCCTCTGCACCACAGTGCTTGGGCCAGGCTCTGGGGGGTCCCTGGCCGTGGGCGGGCAGCAACCCTGGCCCCTCTGCAGGGAGGTCCCATTTTTGGCAATCCCAGAGCCCGGAGTGAAAGGATGAAATGGGAAATAAAGGGAGGGTGGAGGGAAAGAAGGAGGAATAAAAGGCAACAAGGGCGCCGGGGGAGCGATGAAAAGAAAAACAGGGAGCTGCTCGGTGGTGTTTGCCGTGGCCGGGCGGCGGGTAGGGGCACGGAGCAGGCGGAGGGACTATGCCCGGGAGAAGTTGGAGAAGCAGCTTACCGCGGCGAGGCAGGTAGCTAGTCGGGTCCGGGCACGGCAAGGGGCAGGTCCGGGGCCGCTGGCGGCGAGAGGAGCGCGGGGCCGCGGTAGCAGCGCGGGCGGCGAGGCGTGGGGGGGCAGGGTTCCCCCCCCCCC